AATGTTTTGACTCCTCTTCCTGGTCATTATTACCTGGAGGCACATCTCCATCAGAAAATAAACCAGGGAATTCGTCCCACCCTCCCCTTCCTCCCATGTCCACATCTCCGTTCTCTACATCTGCATCTCTATTCCTGCCCTGCAAATAGGTTCATCTGTACCATTTTTCCAGATTCCACATATCTGCATTAATATACATATTTGTTTCTCTTTCCGGCTCACTTCACTCTGTATGACAGACTCTAGGTCCATCCACATCTCTACAGTTGGGAGATTATAATTGACTTATATACACTACCAACGTGTAGAATAGATAGCCAGTGGGAACCTGCTATAAAGCACAGAGAGCTCAGCTCGGTGCTCTGTGACGACCTAGATGGGTGGGATGGGGGGTGGTGGGAGGGAGGTCCAAGAGGGAGAGGATATAGGTATACATAGAGCTGATTCACCTCATTGTACAGCAGAAACTAACACAACATTGTAAAGCAATTATACTCCAAAAAAACCAAAACAAAACAAAAAAGAAACAGGGAATTCCCTGACTGTCCAATTGTTAGGGCTCCGCGCTTCCACTGCAGGGGGCACGGGTTCGATCCTTGGTCGGGGAACTAAGATCCCATGTGCCTGGAGGCACGGCCAATTAAATAAATAAAATGAACCAGAGGGAAAATAGGTTCAAGACATTTCCATAATGCTATTTGTTGGTCACTTTAAGAGTCAAAATTATAATAAAAAATTTTTTAAATCATTAACTGTAGATTCAATGACCTTAGAGCTATCCAACAGAGATTAAAATGCAAGCCATTTTGTAATTTTAAAATGTCCAGTAGCCTCATTAAAATAAGTAGAAACAGGTGAAATTATTTTAAGGATACCTTTTGTTTAACCCAATATATTCAAAATATTACCACTTCAACATGAAATCAACATTAAAAATTGATATATATTACGTTCTTATTTTGCATTAAGGCTTTGAAATCTAGTGTCTGTTTTACACGTAACCACACATCTCAATCGGACCAGCCACCCTCCGCGGACCCAGAGCTCCCCGTGCGCAGAGAGGCTGCAGGGTTCCAGTCCTAAATGCCTCCTGAGTGCCAGCCTCGCCCCTCGTGGGATGAAGTGCATGACGCCCTTTGGGGAAGCTGCAGGTGGAAGGCGTTTTCATTCAGCAACCCGGTGATTTTCAGCCCCTCCTTTAGGAGTCACTAGAAGTCTCATCTTTGAGGAGTAGGAGATGAAGGAGCCCAGGGCCCTGGGGGTGGGGGTGGGGGTGGGGCGGGGTGCAGGCCACCCCCTTTCTGCTCACTCGGTGGCCAGAGGACATGCTGGCACCACTGAACACATGCTCAGACTCCTCAGCAACCCACTGTAAAGCCCAGGCTGGAGGGTGCGGCTTGTGCCCGGCCCGAGTTCCTCTCTATCTCGCCTCTTGCAGAGCAAGCTAGCTTCTAGAAACTGAACCGGGGCGGCTGGTAAGGCCCAGCCTCGGGAAGGACGCCGAGTGAGCACAGTACTGAGGGGCGGAGACAGAGAAGGAGCCTGTGGAAAGTGGGGGACCTGGACTCAGGAAGACCAGCCGTCCCCAGCTCCTCACCTGTGAACTGCGGGTAACAAGGGCTCGGGGCTCCTCGGGGCTGTTGGACACAACAGGATAAAGCCGAGGGCCTGGCCTGCAGAAAAGCCACCACTCTGAGCTCGCTACCACCTGAGGAAGCTGCGCAAGCCTCCACAGGCTCTCCCGCCTCTGCCAACGCCCCCCCGTGCCCCCCGGCCGCTAAGCCTCGTTCTCCCTGGCAGACACTGCTCCCCCCCCCCCCGCACCAAACCCCTCAGCCTCCCACCAGGCCGGCTCGGACAGTCCCAGGAGGCCAGTGGCTTCCTGCCGCTCCTGCCCGATGATGCTCCCCGGAAACGTGAGGTCTGCAAGGGGCTTCGGGGAGGAAGTGCCTAGGAGCAGAGGGTCCCAGGATGGACCCCCAAACAAGGAAGGATGGGAGTTGATGGATAAATACCCCACTTCCTGCCCCTGGAGCAATTCTGGGGTGCATTGTGTGCATTCAGAGGACCCCCAGGGGGCTTGGGCCCCAGTTGCTCCCAGTGGTAACCCACTCAGTAAGTAACTAGCTCTCACTGAGTCTCCTTCCCTCTGTCTCCTCTCCTCATCCCCTCACTGTGCCCCCGGGACCATCTCCCAAATAAACGGCTTCACCCAAATCCTCGTGTCAGGGTCTGTTTCTGGGGGAACCCAAACTAAGACATTCCCCATCTGCAATGCCCTTCCCTCCCCGTCCAACTGTGAAAATCCTGCTCACTCTTCAAGGCTCAGCCAAAAGGACACCTCCTCTGAGAAGCCTCCCTGGTGCCCCTGCCAGCAACAATGCACCTTCCAGGCCTCCCCACCAGCATTCGCCACTTTTTCTTCTGTCTGGCACACCTGCTGGTTTCCTTGGGTCACAGTCAGGGGTTTGGGTTCTTTCTCCCTATGTTGGCTGAGCTCTCCACAAGCACAGAGGTGAGTCTTCGAGCCTGCCACCCCGCAGGGCCCCAGGAAAACTCTGCCAACTATTTCAACATTTACCACCACTAATAGCTCATAATTACTAAGTGCTTACAATTTGTGAAGCACTTTATATGCCATTATTGCCCTGAAACCTCGCAGCCATCACTTAGGTGATAGGTAATAAATCCATGCCCATTTTAGAGATGGACACACTAAGGCAAAAAGATAAGTAATTTCCACAAGGTTGCAGAATCAGCTAGCTCAGATCCAGAGTGCTTAACCACTGTGTGACCAACTCGGTGCAAACTCTTACAAACTCTTCCCTGAGAGCAGTCAGTCCCTAATATTTCTACTAATGGAGAATTAACTCAGTCACAGATGAGGCAGCTCCATGTTTACTCCAATTGAAGGTACCAACAGCCCACAATGCTCCCCAAGCCCCCTTCACTCTGTGGGGGAGTGACCACAGAGCCCACCAGGTGAGGAGTTGCAGAAGAAATAGGCCATGCCCTCAAGGACACCCTCAGATAGAGAGGAAAAGCTGAGAAACCCTCCAGGACAACCAACGACAAATGACGGCATGAGTGGTCCCCAATTTCCTCCAGCTCCTTGGGTCAGTTGCCCATAAGCCCAGCTTTGCAGTCACGTAATGGGTCCATTGATAACCAGGGGTCCCCCTGTCACCCACAGGACCCCCACCGTTCACAGGACCCTCTACTACCCACAGGACCCTCCAGCACCTACAGGACCCTTCACCCTCTACAGGACCCTCCCTAATTACACAGGACCATCAATCTCCCTAAGCATTCTCCCTGCCCCAACCCAGGTGTCAGCCTGCCCACACAGAGGTCAAACTTTTACTGAAGTCAGGCTACTGGTGCCTCTTGGAGGGAAGGTGACAGTGACCAGAGGGGGCAGGAGGGAGGGGGCAGTGTCTTATGGGGGCTGGAAATACTCCAGCCAGTTATATGCTTGTGTTCGCTTTGTAAAAAGTCCTGCATTCTCAAACTATGCACTTATGGTTTGTGTGCTTTGCTGGATGTATGTTACATTTAAATGAAAATTTCACTTTAGAAAAGTTTTTTTTAAAGGAAAAAGAAAAACCTTTTAGTAGGCCAGTCCACTCTCTAGGGTGGAGGACACCCTTCTGAGGCCAGGGAGGAAGCTCATGGCCAGTACTCTAAGAACAAAAAAGTGTGATAAGGGCTTAAAGGAAATCTGAATACAGAGGATCTGAGAAGGGCCCTGTGTGGCGGCTGGGGACCTGAGAGGCCCCCTGGGAGAGAGGAGTGGTCATTTTCCCACCCCACCCCCAAAATGCTGAGGGAAACCCTAAACCCTGAAAGAGCTTGATGGGATCAGCGGGACTATAATCAGTAAATTCTATGAGGTTGTAGGGAGAGTGCGTGGCACCAGGGCAAGACTGAATGGTTAGGATGGGATGGATTTAGATGAGATGAAATGGGTGGGATGAAAAGATGGAGTGGGATGGGGTGGGAGGGGCTGGGACAGGATGGGGATTTGAAGATGGGACCCAGACTGTGAGGGGCTTGACATGGAGCCCATCAAGATGGGGAGTTTGGATTCTGTCCTGCCCAGAGCTGGAGAAGGTTTTTTGGTTTTGTTTTGTTTTGTTTTTGCGGTATGCGGGCCTCTCACTGTTGTGGCCTCTCCCGTTGCGGGAACGCGCAGGCTCAGCGGCCATGGCTCACGGGCCTAGCCGCTCCGTGGCATGTGGGATCTTCCCGGACTGGGGCACGAACCCGTGTCCCCTGCATCTGCAGGCAGACTCTTAACCACTGCGCCACCAGGGAAGCCCTGGAGAAGGTTTTTTTAGCAAGGAGATGGCATCTTAGAATTCTCCTCCAGGGATCGCTCTGGCACAGGTGTGGCCCTCAAGGAGCAGCCTGGAGGCCAGGTGTTTCCTAGACAAAACTACCGAGGCTACGAACAGCCAGAGGGGGCGGGAGGGCGGCCAACCGGCACCCCAGGGCTGTCTGTGGAAGGGAGCTGGTGAGGACCCAGACCCGCGCTGTGTAAAGCTCAGGGTGGGGGTGACACTTGCCCACCCGCCCCCGCAGGAGGCTCGGGCAGCGCTAAGTCAGCTGCGTGTTCTCTTTCTGAGCTCTCAGGAGGAAGCCACGTGATGCTATTTTGAGACAGACTCACTTCCCGAGAAAGGAGTAACAAAATACCAGCAGAGGGACCAGGGGGACCACATTCCATCCCTCAGCCCGGCCCGAGGGCTGCACCGAGTGGGCATCACAGCTCCCAGGACACTTCCGGCCAGTGATGCGCCGCCCATCTCACTGAGGCGAGAACAGGCTGAGAGCTGCGCGCGGGCCCCAGGGGACACCAATGGCAGGTGGCAGAGCCGGGCAGCCCACCCCAAACACCCCGCCCCGCGATTCTTCCGGAAACATAACTCTGCCCCAGGCTCCCGACTGGGTTCCTTGCGGGGAAAGTCCAGTGGCTCTTGGCCGCGTCCCTCCCTCACCTGTGTGCGTGCGCACGTGCCTCTTGAGGTCGAAGGTGTCGTTGAAGCCCTTGCCGCAGAAACTGCACAGGTGCCTCTTCACCTGGCTGTGGCACTTGAGGTGCCGGTTGAGCATGCGCTGCAGGCGAAAGGCCTTGCCGCACAGGTCGCAGGTGTGAATCGCCGCATCGCCGCCGCAGGTGCCTGTGGTGAACTGGGACAGAGAGAGGGGTGAGGACCCGTGTGGGGCGGCGCGCCCACCGCCTGGTGCGTCTAGGCTGGACCTGACTCGGGCTCCTGCACCCCCCCACACACACCCATGCTCCCCTTGGTCCTCGGGACAGACCTCTGATTACCAGCTGGGCGCCCCGCCCCCAGCTACGCGCCTATGTTTCCCAGCCTCACAGCAAGTCCTGCGGGTGGGACCACCTGGCTGGTAAGATACACTCTCTAAGGGGAAGGATGGTGCCCTCTCCCCTGATTTACTCCTTCCTGCTCGGGAGAGCAACAGCCACCTCGGACCCAAGGCGGAAGCCAGTGCTGAGGATGGAAGAGCAGAAAGGAAAGAGGAGTCTAGGTCTGATAACATCACAGAGCCCGCAAAGACAGCCACAGTCAATTCCTTCCTCCCGGCCAGCATCCACCAAGAGACTGTCTCCTCTCCCCCTGGATCTGGGCAGGGCCTGCGTCAGTTCCAGATCTTAAGAAACGGTGCAGCTTTTCTGCATCCTCCCTCTTGGAAGCCAGCAGCCATGAGGAAGCCTGAGCCCACCATACTGTGGGGAAGCCCAAGCAGCCATGCAGAGGAGCAATGAGGTGCCAGGTATGAATAAGGACTCACTGGACCTTCCAGCCCAGCCAGGGCTGCCACCAGCTGAGTGAACAAACCCGGCCCAGAGGAAAACTGCCTAGCCCAGCCGTGCCCCAGTTCCTGACCCAGAATCATGAGCAAATAAGACGGTCATCTTGGGAAGTGACTTGGTCAGGATCCCACAGTTTTGTTATCAGAAAAACTATAACCAAATCCCAGGTTCTGGACTGCCTGGTTCATTCTCTCAACCGTGTTTGCTGCCTCAAAGGAAGGAAACAGAATCTATAACTGTGTGAAGAAAAACACGAGATCTGATATATTCATTAAAGGTTTCCTAGTTATCAGATCCTTTAGAAGATGGATCCAACCGTTCTGCCAAAATTCTATTCATAAAAGGACCTAAAAAACTTAATTTTCAGACAAACATTATTAGCAAGAAGAGCTGGTCTTTTCCTGGCTTAACACCTTCCTTGTCTGAAACACCCTCCTTTCATCCACTGGGGTACTGCCTCCCGCCAAGCCTCAGCTCACCTGTTCCCTCCCCGATGAGCTTCTACAGCCACTGCAGCCCCTGCCCAAACTGGTCTGCGTACCCCTAAGACCAGTGCCTCTCAAACCTCAGTGCACACACGAATCCTCTGGGGGTCTTGTTAAAATGCAGGTTCTCTCTTGCACTGTTGGTGGGAATGTAAATTGATACAACCACTATGGAGAAAAGTATGGAGGTTCCTTAAAAATAGAACTACCATACCACCCAGCAATACCACTACTGGGCATATATACCCAGAGAAAACCATAATTCAAAAAGACACATGCACCCCAATGTTCATTGCAGCACTGTTTACAATAGCCAGGTCATGGAAGCAACCTAAATGCCCGTCGACAGACGAATGGATGAAGAAGATGTGGTACATATATACAATGGAATATTACTCAGCCATAAAAAGGAAAGAAATTGGGTCATTTGTAGAGACGTGGATGGATCTAGAGACTGTCATACAGAGTGAAGTCAGTCAGAAAGAGAAAAACAAATATCATATATTAACGCATATATGTGGAACCTAGAAAAATGGTACAGATGAACCGGTTTGCAGGGCAGAAATAGAGACACAGATGTAGAGAACAAACGTATGGACACCAAGGGGGGAAAGCGGCGGGGGTGGGGGTGGGGGTGTGATGAATTGGGTGATGGGGATTGACATGTATACACTGATGTGTATAAAATGGATGACTAATAAGGACCTGCTGTATAAAAATAAATACAATAAAATTCGAAAATAAATAAAATTTTAAAAAAAAAGTGCAGATTCTGATTCAGGAGGTCTTGTGGAGTCTGGATGCTGCATTGCTAGACAGCTCCCAGGAGATGCCACCGTGCAGTCCATGGACCACACCTGAGATGTGAGGGGCTGGCCCTCACACGGTTCAGGACTTTATTCCAACTCATTCCAGAGGCTTCCATCAGGCACGAACGTTTCCTCAACTAAACGCCTTGCGGAAGCCAGCAAGCATTCGCGCAGGCTCCTGCCCACCCCCCACCCATGCCCCAAGCGCACATGCGGGCCCTGCACAGTCAGAAAGTGTTGGTGGGCAATGGCTCACAGGCGGCAGGAGGCGAAGACCCCAGCACAGGGCTTTCCAGTCAGCCCCCTCCACCAGTTCATTCTCACTGCTCCACCTTAGTCTCGGCCGACACTGACGTGTGCCTGATCCGAGACGGGGCCTGTGCTCAGAGCACCAGGATGGCTTGTCCCCAGGAAGCTGCCAGTCTAGTCGGAGAGCAGACCGGGCAACAGGCCACTGCCATCTGGGAAGCCCCAGCTGCAAGGGGTGGCTGGGAGGGGAGCCTAGCCCAGACAGTGGGCGCACGGGAAAGTGTACCCAGAGAGGTGAACACCTCAGCCAGGCCACGATGAAGAAGATGGGGGAAGGGCAAGGAATATCCCAGAGAGGGCGCTGGGAAGAGGGGGACTGTGTGTAGTCCAGCCTGGCCAGCCTGAGCCCTGGAGAGTAGCTGACGCACAGAGCTGAGGGAGGAGAGAAGGGCAGGGCCCCCAACGACTGTCAGAGGGCGGGGGGAGGGAGAGCACATTGGAAGATACAGGAGGACAACCGCAGGGCTTGAGTCTGATGACCCTCCTGCCTCATACCCCACCTCTGCCCCCCAAAGGGGTGGGGCCTGGCAGGGCCTGAGGGAGACCCAGCTGTGCCCAAGGCTCTCCTATCACAGGACAGGTCATGGTCTCCTGCGAATCCGCAGTCCCCATTCTAGTCACTGCCTCCCTTGAAGGGATGTGAAGAGACTAAATATGGCCCAGGTCTTGGCAAACAAAATGCCGTGAGCTTCTGAAGGCCAAGTCTACACAGGATAAAGGTCATTTGAGAGGTAGTGCGGCTAATGAAATAGGACAGAGGCACATGAACCTGGTAATTCTGATGAAAAACGTGAAGAAAGCTAGAACTGTCTTCTGAAAGTCCTGCACCATGTGCCCGAGGACTCGCCACCTATGGTTCCAACCTGAACCCTTGTTTACTTTAATCCTTTTGGTAAACTCCTATTTTTAAAATGCTCAGCATGTAACATGAATACCTCCTATTACAGTCCAGGATGGAAATCTCAAATCACTGGCATTATTTGGTTTGAAAAGAATAAAAATTTTGAGGGCAGAGGGGATGGAGATCAGTGACCATTTAAGGGAGTTCAGGGTCAGTGGATCATCTGACTGAGAAAGATATGGAAAGCTTTTTAACACAGGGGAGAAAGAGGGAATGAGGCGAGGGGACTGGAGAGGGAGGGCACCCCATTCTCTGGGGAACTTCCCTCTGGTTTTCTCAGAGCAAAAATAAAAGATCTCCAATTGCCTCAGCAAACGCAGTGTTGCCATTTCTCCACTTTTCACAACATGGAAAACTGAGTCAACACAAAATGCTCATGTAGAGAATTGCCATAAGGTGCACCCTCCAGCCCATGAAGGGTTGTTCGCCAACTATAAATGTATTTCTGACCAATCCAGACTCCAGACGTTTATGAATTATATCCAGAACGTCTGAAGAGGGCCTTTTCAAAAGAAGATGGAGGGTTAATTCAACAGCAAAAAGATCATGGCTGATGAAGCCAGCTTCTGCCAGACTTGTTCACTTTTCAGAGGAAGGAAAATTTCCTTTGTTAGAAAGGTGAGAGTCCTTATTATTCAGTCATAAAAAAGAATGAAATCATGCCACTTGCAGCAACATGGATGGACTCAGAAATGATCATACTAACTGAAGTAAGTCAGACAGGGAAAGACAAATACTATATATCACTTATATGTGGAATCTAAAAAATAATACAAATGAACTTATTTACAAAACAGAAACAGACTCAAAGACAAAGAGAACAAACATGGCTACCAAAGGGGAAAGAATAGGGGGAGGGATAAATTAGGAGTATGGGATTAACAGATACCACTATATATAAAATAAACAACAAAGATTTACTGTATAGCACAGGGAATTATATTCAATATCTTGTAGTAACCTATAATGGAAAAGAATCTGAAATATATATACACACATATACATATATGTATACAGACATATGTATAACTGAATCACTCTGCTGTACACCTGAAGCTAACACAATATTGTAAATCAACTACACATCAATTTTTTTTTAAAAAAAGGAGAAATTCCTCAGAAAAATATTTGGAGGATAAATTCCTAAACATGAAATTTATCCACAGAGTGTACTTCACATGTGCCTTGAAATTTGGTCTGTGATAGCAAAAAGCTGGAAACTACCTATATGCCCATCAATAGGGACTTGTTAAAAAAAAGATGGTATAACCATATAATAAAGTAGCTAGAAAAGGACAAGAGTACCAACTGCCAGTCACATGAGTGAGCCCTCCTGGATGTTCAAGCCCCCAGGAGACTCCAACCCCACTGTCATCTGACTGCATCCACAAGAGAAACCCCAGGCAAGACCCACCCAGCTGAGCCCAGCCAATCCGCAGAACTAGAAGACGTCATAATAAAGTGCTATAAGCTGCTAAATTTGGGGTTGTTTGTGAAGCAGCAACAGAACACTGGAACGGTGAGAGATGTATCACATTCTCTCTAGAACACCAGAGCTGCCACACTTCTGCGTGTTCTCTCCCAGGATGGGCAGCATGATACAGAAGACACCCCTGATTCCTGAAATGATGCCCCATGTGCCAGAGGACCGGCAATCTCTCCTCGGGTCACCTGTCTGCTCACTGGGCCATCTTTATTATGTTTACACAGGCTTACACCTACCATTCTACTTCCTAGAAGTCCAAAATAGGGTTAACCAACTACCTTGTTACTCTACTCTGCAAGGCGTAGACCAAAACTAGTTACATCTTTGTCACCTGGTCACAAAATGAGTGGGGTGGAGAGACAAGAAATGCTGAGGATCAAATAAAAACCTAGACCTGGATGGCTGTGTGATGTCATTTAATATCCCTGGGCCATACTTTCCCACATGTAAAAATAATAAAATGGGACTACATGAGCTCTTTTCCTAAGTTCAAATCCTGCTCTACCACCTACAGTCTGGGAAGTAGGCAAGTTACTCAACCTCTCTAAGCCGTAATTTCATCACCCATAAAATGTGGACAATAATGATACTTGCCTCTTGAGACTGTTAAGGAATTAAATAAGAAAAGCTACTTTAAAAAGACTGGGTGCTAGGGACTTCCCTGGCAGTCCAGTGGTTAGGACTCCGCGCTGCCACTGCAGGGGGCATGGGTCCGCTCCCTGGTCAGGGAACTAAGATTCTTGCAAGCCGTGAGGTACAGCCAAAAAAGAAAAAACAAAAAGACTGGCTGCTGCAGTAAATGCTAACTCTTAGAGTTCGACAAGCTCCAGAGTCCTGTGATCCTAAATAAAAGGTAATTGGTCAAAACCCATTGTTTCTCCATTTGTCTTTTGAGTTTTTCTCTCACTGATGGAAGAAAAAGGGAACCAACCTTCAGTGTGAGTCACTAGCCCCTAGTCTTTCATCTGCGACTCTGAAATCCAAATAGCTCTGAAAACCAACATTCGCTCCTATCTCCCTTGGCAACAAAAGTGGAAGCTACCCATTTGGTGTCAATATTCGTGTTTTGATATGGAAAGTATTAATGTGTTCAATTACAGTATACCGCTCCAGACACTGTTATACTCAGAAAAAGCTTAATAGTCTCATCCTTAATCCAAAATTAACTCTCCAAAAGGCTTATTACTGAAGTGAGGAAGCTACCACGAGGATGGGAGGTGACATCAGTGTGGAGATTAATTAACTAACTGGAGATTAATTCAGGGCAAGAATGATGAAGAGAGATAGCAGTTCCCCAACCCTGAAGCTTGGCGCTTTCTTATTTGCTGTCCTGTTTTCTGCAGGATCTCGGCTTTCATTTTAAAAAACACACAAAGTTCCCCTCTAGTTCTTCTAAAAACAGGCCTGTGCAGCAGAAACAAACCCATCATTGTATCAGAGCTGCTGAAGACTTCAGGAGCATCTAGGGAGGTAGGGACCTGGGCTGGCCCTCTGACCAACTTCAAAAGCTGGCTAAGGTCACTTACCTGTCAACTTCTAAAGGAAAAAAAGAAAAAAAATCCTTTATTTTCTGTGGATGCTTCCACCAGACAAGTTCCTTAAATTAATGGTCCTATTTCCTGTGGGAGGCTACCGTGAGTGCAGGCTACCTTCCGGTGGCCGCGCAGACGAGATTTCCAGTGACACATGTGCTTATGCCTGAGCGCTCAAAACATGCTAAGCGTATTTCCCCAGCTCCTTTAGGATAAAAATTCCCCTCCTGCTCCTACGTACTACTTCCTTAAGCTTCACAACTCCACTACATGGCAGAATGCAGAACCTTCCCAAATGCAGAGATGCTGACGGGAACGTATCCTAATCATCCAGAAGAAACAGATTCAAATACCTGAAACCCGCCTGTGGCCACAGGGCTTGTAGGTGCCCACACCGAGATTCTGATGGGACTTGTTGTCTGCAAAACGTGTGCCTGCACTTCCCCGGGACAGGCCCATGGGTCTGGGCATGACGTGTGGGAGAGGCAGGGATGAGCCCTGTGGTTTTGTCTCATGTCACGGTGAGAAACTGCTTCAATTCCTTCATGTCAGGCTGTCAGTGCTAATGGCTAAGGCGTCAAAGGTGGCTTCCACGATGCAGTACAACAACGCTAAAGAATAAGGAGCCTTGGGTTGGGCTTTGCCACTAGTACCTGTGACGAACTCAACAAAACCTCTCTGGCTTTACCTTTCTCCCCACAAAAATAAGGAGATTGGACCACATAAGGGTCCCTGAAGTAGATCCTGTGGGTGGACACGCTCAGCCTCTATTCCTGCTCCTCTGGTGGGCCTTCCTGTACAGCAGAGGCTACAAAAGCTAGACACTACATTTCCCAGAATCCCTGGCATCTGTGGTCTTTAGATGTGACTGGGGTACCACCAGTTACATGCACCAGCAGGAGATTTGACTTCGGGCCTGAGTTAATTGAGCCGAGGCAGATATGTGGCAATTGTTTCACACCCTGCATTAGCAGAAGCATCGTGATGCACGACAGCAGCCAAAGAGGCCGCGGCTGCAGTTCCCTAGGTAGCCCAGTTCTGTAGTGTGGCTCTGGGGGTCACTCCTGGGAGCTCAGCCTGGTCTCTCTTTAGCCCATTTAGTACCCCATAATTAACCACTGTCTGCTTAAGTGAGCTACAGTGGATTCTGTTTCTGCAACAAATCCATTCAGACCCTTCCAACCACAAAAACCGACTTACCTATATTCCACTTAAAAGCTGGCTGCAGTTAACACTTGCATTGTTCTCCTATTCCTTTTTCCCCCTTTAAATTAATTTAAGCTTTTTCAAGCATCCATTCCAAGCTTTTTTCCCTTTTGTCTTGCTTCCTATTTCCCCCCAGATGCTACTGACTCCTTCCCTGCCTGTATTCCTCTTCTATGTTGACTTATGTCCTCCTATGAGTCAGGCATTACTGCACCGGGTGCTGAAAATACAAGCTCAGCAGGAATGCTCCCTGCCTTTGGTGGGTCTAGAGTCAAGAAGAAAAGTCTGGTCAGCCAAGGAGATGGTCAGTGAGTTACAAGACTGGTGGGGGGAATTGGGACATCCAGTTCTGTCTTGGGAGACTGAAGTCAACAGGCAGGGAATTAGGGATGGGGCTTATGTTACCTTCCAAATATCAAATGGGTGGGTTTTTTAAAAATACTTAAATCCAGCCAATCCAGTTGGTAAATCCCTTGTCCCTGCTGTAGGCAACAAAGTATTGGACATTAACAAAACTTGCTATGAGTCACTGTCGGCTACCTCCCCACTGGGCAGTTTACACACACACGAAATTGCTCAGCGTGTTGCCTCCATTGTCTCATGTAATCTGCCCAATGCTTTGGAGAGGCCGATTCGCTTATCTCTATTTTGCAGATCAGAGAACTGAGGCTCAGAACAGATAATGTATCCCCAACCACAGCTGGTGAGATGGACCCAAATGAGGTTTTCCTTCTCAAAAACCTTCCAGAGCCCCTCCTCTGCCCCCACGGGAGCACCCACACTTCTCGGCTTGGCCCCATGACCATCACAGCCTGTCCTGGCTACATGTCCAGTTCCTCACCTTGACTCTCCCTGACCCCAGGCCCATTTCCCATCCTCCCTCCAGCTCTGAGTCCTGTCCTTACTCAAGCTTTGGGCTCAGCCCATACGACCCTAAAGCGTGCTTCTCCCCCTTCTCTCACAGCCCTCAAATCCACACCAAGAAACCTTCCTCTGCTCAGAATGTACTGCATCTTTGCTTGTGCTTCTAGTTGAGCATTCACTTTCCTGTAATAGGGTTAATAATTAATTTAGTATTTGTGTCTCTCCACCAACCCAAATAATTCTAGCTAGAGTTATTGGACACCTACCGTGTTTCACGCTTGACTCATTTCTCCTCACACCTCTATGAGGTTTCATTACTTGTTTCATTACTATCCCCATTTTTACAGGCGAGGAAACTGAGGCCCAGAGGGACTAAACCAGAGCCTAGAGCCCTAACCGTTACTGTCAGAAGATTCTGGAACACCAGGGTGGCAGCATCTTTATCTCCTGGCTGCCTTGTGCACAGCAGGCACTACATACTGTTGGATGGGATGTAGCTTCTCTCTGCCCTTCTCTGGTCCTAAGAACCAACGGTCCAGTAAGTGTCTTCAAGTCACTCAAAAACATGCATCATGCCTGAGTGGCTTCCCCCTCTTATGGTTAGGAAACTAATTCTTAGACAGTTCAGCATACTTGGCATAGAACTCTACAGTTACACAACGTGCTAATTCACCGGCAATTGGACCAGTCATTTGAAAATGGCCAATACCACAGCTGATAATTCTGTAGGCTTGAAGCATCTTAACCCCAGGAGGTCTTGTGGAAGCTGAGAAGGAGAGGGAACCTGAACTTCGGCCTCAGTAAACAAACAAAAACTCCTCTGGAAACCTTGTTAAGGGTTGAGGAGCAAACTCTATGCCCTCCCCCCCACCCCTGGCGTCAGCACCAAAACAAGGATCCTGGGAATAAGATTGGTTTATTCATTCCCTTAATCCAGGGCCCCAGTGGAGCCGTTTGCCTGGGGTGGCAGAGATCTCCTAAAATGGTGGTTAACGGACTGGATATTTTCCTGTGCCACCTTGTCTCCAGGGCAATCTGGGCAGTTGGGGGACAGAGGGGTGAAGTATCTGTAGACCACCCGAAAACAATGTTGCAAATTGTCCTTCCCGCGGCAGATGATAAATATGCAAGTGGATACTTGGTAGAATTTCCCGGAGGGCAGAGCTACAGGCCTCAGGCAAATTGTCCCTCCCAGTTAACCCCATCTGGCCCAGAAAAGCCTCCCATCAGCTGACTTTGAACCTCAGCGCACTTAACACTAAGCAGGATGCCTACACCCAGTCGCAGCATCCTTTAAAGGTGTCTTTCTTAAGGATTCCAGGCTCAAGCCTCTAGCCTCAATTGATAACCAAATGCACGCCAGCCCACCACGGAGTCAAGCCCCTGGAGCCAGGAATATGCACAGGGGAGGGAAGACCTCTGCCAGGAAAAGTAACGGAGGAGGCTTTGGCAATCCACAGCTAACCCTAGGGCTTCCGCCCCATCTCGGTGCCTGGGCAGGGGGCTTCGGGACCACCCTGGAGTGCCCAAGAATTAACACCTACACCAAGGGCCTGGAGCCCGAAAAGGCTCACACTAAGGCCCACTTGGCTAGGAACTGGGGTTCTGTGATTCCTAAAAGCCACTCCCAGGCTCCCGCCGCCCGTGAGTCAGTGGAATGGGACAGCTTAGTCTTAGAGGTAGCGGATACCTTTGAGCAAGCAATCATGGCAGTTCCACACAGGAGAGCGCAGATGGGCGTCCGGATAAGCTGTGGCCTACGATTCCAGGAGGCTGGGTGGGGGTGGGGGCTGAAGCGCGAAGACAGAGGGAAGCAAACACTCCAACCCACTGGGGGCGGGGCAGTAGGCCAATTTGCAGTTGAATCCGTTCATCCGTGAACATAATTCAATAAGATTTGACAAACACAAGTTTCAAGTGCCCGGCACAGACCTCGTGTCTAACGGGCACTTCATAATTGGCACTGGGAATAGTTGTGATTGCGAAAGACCCACTGTGTGCCACGCTACCACCACTGCCTCCAGAACTCGAGGAAGGGGGCGAAACTCAGAATTCACAAAGCTGTAGGAACTGCACCTCAGAGGAGGGGAGCCCGAGGCCTGGGGTCCCTTCTTTCCCACTCCAGGAACTCCGACGGCCAGGGTGTTCCTCAGGCCCTGCGCACAGAATGGACTGCTGGGGGGAGGAAGCTGTGCCTGAGCCTTTAGGCAGCTCCGGAGGCCACGCGGAGGGCCTGTGCCCGCGCGGGAAGCCAGTCTCCGGGGTGCAGCAGCGCGGGCGGCCGGCTACCTGGCAGGCGGGAGGACGCGGGGAGGCGCCCTGGCCGCGACCCAGGGGCAGGTGCAGGAGCTGCGCTGCGGGCGCGCTGGGTGCTCGGGTGCCGGGGCGCGCGGGCGGGCGCGACAGGGAGAGGCGCCGGCCCTGGGAGCCCGACGCCAGGGCGTGGTGCAGGTGGCGGCGGGGGCAGAGTCGACATCGTACCTTGATTTTCGATCTGGCGACCGGGCGCTGCTTCGCCGCCAGGTGTCCACCGGGGACCTCGCCATCGCCAGGCTCGGGGGTTTCGCGCTCGGGGGCGCGCGGGGACGAGCTGCTCTCCGCGCCTCCGGGCTCCCCCGCGCTGTTGCTGCCGCCGCCGCTGCTGCTGCCGCCGTCGCTGCGGCAGTCCTCGGGAGGGTCGTGGAGCAGACGGCCCAGGCCCACTGCATGGGAGGGCCGCGCCCCGACACACAGACACGCGGCGTCAGGCCCGGGCGCCCGCGGCAGTTTGACCTGCGGGCGGTGCCGCCGCCGCCCCGCCCCGGACCTGGGCACCTCGCCAAGTGGGCAACGCCGCGGGGGTGGGCGAGAGAGCCCCGGACTCGGCCTCCTGAGCGATCTCGGGGTTCTGGGAGCCGCTCCTCAGTCCCAGTTACAGCGCCCACGAGGAAAAGAGGGCCCAGCGCGGCTGGGGACCCGCGCGCCAAATTTCCTCTCCCTGGGATGGGGGCGGGGGGCCTGACCTCGACCCATCCAGCCCCGGAGAGGTTGACCCATCCCTGTGCAACCCCACGAGGACGTGGGACTGAGGGTTGCCCCTACTGGCCCCTAGCCCCCTTCCCGGGCCACCCCGGCCCGCGCTGCAGCCAACGGTCCCGCCGCCGGGCAATTAGAGGCGCCCACTAGGGGGAAGGGGGCGCAGGGCGTCCCAGGTTCCCAGCCTCTCACTCTCGGTCCTCCCGCGCCTCCGTGACTTCCTCCTCCCCTTGAAAGAGGGACATGGGGGAGGGGGACAGTCCAGCCTCGGCCGTAGAGCAGAGGGGACCCGGCCACCCTTGCCCGCACCCCAGGAACCCGGCGCCCAGGCCCGGCCCCGGCGCGGCGCTCACCTGGGATGTAGGTGTCTGCCCTCTCCTCGTCCGGGAGCTCATCCCAGCTGCGGACCGAGACCCCCGGGCTCCTCCTCTTCACCAGGAAGACTTTGGGCATCGTGGGGCCCCCTCCCCGGACTGCGGCCCCTCGTCCCGGCTGCTCCCCTCTAGGGGCGGCGGCGGCTCGGTCCCCGGTTCCCCGCGGCCAGAGCCCACCTTCCCGCCCGGCCGGCCCTCTCCCTCCGCCCCCCGCCGCGGCGCGGCCCGGCCTCTCCCCCGCACGCCCAGCGACTCCCAGCCTCCCGGCTCGGCGACACCTATGCCTTAAATCGCGGGTGAGACCACGCCGAGGAAAAAGTTTCATAAGGTGGAATAGAAAAGGCACCAGGAAACTTGGGAGTGAGCATGCGCCCTGCAACATAACGGTGTCAACAAGCTCGCTACCTGTCCGACCGGTTCCGGCGGCCGGGGCTGCCTGTTCCAGCCCTTCCTTCGGCACGAATGTTTGCAAAAGAATTTAACGTCTCAGTCTTTCCCCCCTCCCCTTCTTAAAAAGGGAAGAACGTTTTTCTCTCAGCCCCCTGCCCCATTCCCCATCACAGGCACCGCAGGGCGAACTCTTTGAGGAAAGCACCAAGTCCGCTCCCCGGGCGTCCCCCCTAGAGCTGGAGCCCCCGCGAGTCGCCCCCTCCCCCGCCCCCCCCCCACCCCGCCCCAGTGGATTCGCCTCCGACAAGCAAGCCAGAAAATGGCTCAGTTCCTCTGGACTTTGTGGATCATTCCCGGGGTTTGTTGAAATCTCGGTGTGCGGAAGGGGGAGGCCGCGGGAGACTCCCCAGGATTCTGATCTGGTAAAGAGGGAACTTGGGAGCTTCAGCTCCCCCTCATAGACAACAGTCCCCCAAATAAACACAGTAAAATTAAATGTTAAAATTCATGCATCTTTAGAACGTTATTTTGTGCCATACAATCTAAGAAAAACAAGTCCGCTTGTTCCACCCCAAGAGTCCCCTTACCCCAAATAAACACGATGGAAAAAAAGCCAAGGGCTGGCTATGCAAACACAGCTTTGAAACAAATTTTTTATCCTCGCCAACTCCCATTATTGCCTCCCCTAACCGTTTGCTCCCCAAATTCTGAGGCTGAGAAATACTTTCCAAGAAACCAGTGAAGATGGGCTACATATCCCCTCACTGCCCCTACTGGGGAGGTGGCTGGAGAGCTTGGTATTTATTTTGGGTTTGGGGTTTTTTGCTTGTTTGTTTGTTTGTTTTCATCTACCTTTATACCTGGAGGGCCGAGGATGGGGGAGAGGGTAGAGAAGGAAGAGGAGCTGGTAAAAGAAAGATGCCAAGTTTCTAAGAGCAGCTGTACCCGCGTTGCGGGATTTGGGGGCGCGCTGCGGGTCCTACGACCTCTGCTCGGTGTGCCCAGGGACGCATAGCACCGCCTCCACGGCCGTGGCGGCCACCCCCTTCCCGGGGTGATCAGACGTGTGCCAGCTCCGGGGGCTGCGGGGACGCGGCCGGCCAGGGGTGCTCTGGCGCCAGCAGCTCGCCCATCCGCCCGACTCACCTGTCTGTAACCTGACCCGTTGCGCGCCCAGCCCACAGGGCGGGAGAATCAACACAGCGGTTTTCCCCGTCCTCTTCCGCCCTGGAATGGCCTTTGGGGACACAGCAGCCTGGTAACGGATTTCTTGGCTCGGCTGGAATACTCTCCCCGCTCTCGGAGACGGGGCGCAGCTCGGCCCAGACTGCTCAGGGTGCAGACGCGCCCCGCCTCCGGAGCTGCCCTCAAGGGGTCACCCTCTCTGGGCTCTTCCCTGTCTGGACTCCAGATTTTCTCTGAGAACGACAAACAAAGAAGGAAAAAGACTTTGTGCCGGGTGAGCCAGGGGAGGAGGAGGAAGACATTTCCATAGCGGCACAAGGAGACCAGGCTTCTTTCTCGTCCACGAGGCTGATGGCGCAGCTTCTGGGAGAAACTGCGAATGTATTTTTATCCGCCAACAAACTGGAGCCTTGCTAGAAAGAGAGAGCTTGGCTGAATGAAAGTAAAAATAGAGTAACGCTGTGAAATCACGGAAGTATGTCCCATCTCATAAAAAGCTTAAAAACTTCACTTCATTCAAAATTCCTTATTTTACAAAAAAGACCCCATTAACAGAGCTTTTTTTCCTTCTTCTTCACCTTTCACTGGATTTCAGATCACCGAATGCCTGAGACACTTTGTCCATTATTTGGAAATATTATAGAATGATAGGATCTAAGAATAGAAACCTCAAAATGCAACACAACCTTCAGAGGATTGGAGGTGAAAATAACAGGTATAATTACACTTTTATTCAACCAATTGTTGTATGCCTGCCTATTCTGATATTTGCTGGATATTTCTTTGGAAGAAGGGAAATCTAATGTGTTATCTTTCTTTTGTGTGTGTGTGATCAGACGAGATAGGTTTATCAACAGTATTAACATTTTCAAAGAAACAGTTTTGCCTTTGTTGACTTTTCTCTAGTGTAAGGTCAGATTTCTAAGTATTATGAGAGGTATTGATAGAGTATTGCCTAAAAGTAGGATAAGAAATGGTAAAAAAAAAAAAAAAAAGAAAGAAAAGAAAAGAAAAAGAAAAAGAAATGAACCCAATTCTTTTAAAAATCTCAAAAGTTTGGAGTTGGAAGAGACGGAAGACACGCTATGGTCCAGAGCTCACCCAGTATTGCGGGGAGGAGGTGGTCCCGGCAGAGTGCCCTTGATAGGTGTGTCGCCAGCCCTGCTTGAATACCTCCAGTGCTGGAGAGCTCATTTTTCCAAAAAGCAGCCTATTCTCTGGTTAGACAACACTGATCTTGAAAGCTTTCCCTTCTGCTGTATGGAAATCTGTTTCCCTGCATTTCCATCTACCCTCTCCATTCTGCCCTCAGGGGCTACTGAGCCCCCTCCCCCTGATAGTTCTTCTAAAGCATGCAAGCACCATAGGTGTTCTCACTTAAGACTTCTTTTCTCCAGTAATGTATGGTGAGATTGAAATAGACAGGTACAAACCTGCTCAGTGGTATCCTTGGAGCAGACAGTTACGAGGAGAGGTTAGGATGTCAGGAAAATATTCCTTAAATTTTTTTTAAACATTTTATTGAAGTATAACACAGTGTTAGAAAAAATGCACAGATCATAAGGCCACAGCCAGATAAATTTTCACAAACCAAATTCACCTTTGAACCAGCACCCCAGACCAAGATAAAGCTGCCGGCTCTCAACATTCCATTCAACATTAGACCAGCTTCCTTATAGGTTCAATAAGGCAAAAAAGAAGAAATAAATGTATAAAGATTATAAAGGAAATAACAAACCAACATGATTTGTCGTCAGTATGATTGTCTATATGGAAAACTCAAAAGAATCCTCAGATAAATTATTAAAATTAATAAGAGAGTTTAGGGCTTCCCTGGTGGCGCAGTAGTTGAGAGTCCGCCTGCCGATGCAGGGGACACGGGTTCGTGTCCCAGTCCGGGAAGATCCCACATGCCGCAGGGCGGCTGGGCCCATGAGCCATGGCTGCTGAGCCTGCGCATCCGGAGCCTGTGCTCCGCAATGGAAGAGGCCACAACAGTGAGAGCCCGCGTACGGAGAAAAAAAAAGAGAGTTTAGCAAGGTTGTTGTGTATAAAATCTGTGTGTGTGTGCCTGTGAGAGTGGATATGTGTTGTGTCAATTGCATTTCCATATGGCAGTAACAGAAAAATTAAAAGTCTAATAAAAAAATTGACTTACAACAGCAACCAAAATAAAAGTGCCTTGAAGTAAATTTTTTAAAAATATTGTGCAAGTTCCTTGTGGATAAAATTAGAAAACTTTTTATTGGAAGACGTTAAAGAAGATACTAATCAATGGAAAGATTTACCATACTAGTGGATTGGAAGACTCCGAGTCAAAAAGAGGTCAAAAATCCCCAAATTCATCTGCAGATTTAATACAATTCTTAAAAATATTTGGGGGGAAAAAGATCTTTTTGTGGGGCCTGACAAAATTATTCTGAAGTTTATATGAAAGAATAAGCAACACACTCCCGAAAAAAAGCCAAGGTGTATAGATTTGCTCTATCAGACATCAGTAGTAATTAAAATAGTGTGCATTGGTACACAGATAGACATCGGTGCACAGGCTGACCACCATTACAGAACAGAGAGCCCAGAAACAGGCCCACACATATGTGGAAATTTGATTTATGAGAAAAGGCATGGCAGAGCAGTGGGAAAAGATGAGTCATTCAATAGGTGGAACTGGAACGTTGGTTATCCATTTGGGGAAAAATAAAGGAAATTGACTAACACACACACAGAACAATTTCCAGTGGATTAAACATTGAACTGTATATGTATAATTATACATATATATTGGTTTGACCAAAAAGTTCGTTTGGGAAAAATCCGAACGAACTTTTTGGCCAACCTAATAGAGAGCTAGATAATGTAAAAGAACATATTTATGATATAGGGTAGAGAAGAGTTTCTTAAGAAACAAAAAACAGACCATAAAAAATTTGATAAGTCTGACTGCCAAAAAATTTTAAAGGTACCAACAGGCACCTTTAAAGAGAATAAGCTAAACCACATACTGAGAGAACTTTTTGCAACACATTTATCTTACAAATGCTTAGGATCCAGAATATATAAAGAACTCTTACAAATGAATATGCAAAGACAAACTCAACAGAAAAATGTCAAAAGACTTGGATAGGCATCTCCCAGAAAAGAAAACATGAATGGCTCATCAACATATAAAAAATACTCAATCTCATTAGTAAACAAGAAAATACAAATTAAAATGACAGTGAAATGCGATTTTATGTTTACCAGGCTGGCAAAATTTTAAAGTTTGACAATACTAAGTGTTGGTGAGGATATGGACCAATGAAATTGTTCAAACATTGCTAATGTGTATGTACATTGATTCAAACATTTTGGAAAAGAGTTTTGACTTTACCTAGTCAAATTGGACATACACATATTAAATGACCCAGAAATTCCACTTCAGGTTTTGTAATCTAGAAAAAGTCTTGCACTTTTGCACCAAGAGTCACAGACAAGAATATTCATCATAGCATCATTTGTCATACTCAAAAAAAATAAAAACCTCAACACAACCCAAATGACAATAACTGATTGGATTAATACATGGTGATAAATCTGTACAGTGGAAAGGAATGGCTCACAGACACACACATTAACAAAAGTAAATCTCAAAAGCATATTGTTGAAAGAAAAAAGCAAGTTACAGAAGAATTGTACTATAAGATTCAAATGATTTTAAAAAACATCAATGTAAACAATATATTGTTTAGGAATACAGACACTTGTTAAAAGCATTAGGCAACAAGCAACGACTTGGAAGAATCTCTAGAGACTATGCTGAGTTAAAAAGGAATCCCAGGGACTTCGCTGGCGGTCCAGTTGTTAAGACTTTGTGCTTCCACTGTAGGGGACACGGGTTCGGCCCCCGGTTCGGGAACTAAGATTCCCGCATGCCATGTGGCCCGGCTGGGGAAAAGAAAAGAAAAAAAAAGTAATCCCAAAGGTTACCCATTGTATGATTCCATTTATATAACATTCTTCTTATTGTTTACTTTTTATTTAAAAAATTTTTATTCCATTTTTATTTGTAGTAAAGAAATGCAGGAAGATAAAATTTCAGTTGTTCTAACAGGCTTACCAAAAGGCCATTGTAACCCTTGACAGTTTCTTAGAGGCAACAAAATCTTTTCTGGTTATGCTTGTTTGTTTAGTTTAGAAACTAAATATGCTCACAGTGATACTATGTATATTTGAGTTTAGTGCATTATCTTTTAATATCCTACATGGGAAAATAAGTATTTAGGGCAATCTCCCTTCAGTCTCTGATCCCTCTGAAATTAGTTATTTTCTCTTTAAAAAAATTAATTTTCCATCTTTATATTACTTATATATTTTATATTATTTTGCTAGGGCTCCATAACATTCTTTTTTTTTTTGTAAATCTTTTATTTTTTGCCCTATACTTTTTTTAATATAAATTTATTTATTTTATTAATTTTTATTTTTGGCTGTGTTGGGTCTTCGTTGCTGTTCACGAGCTTTCTCTGGTTGCGGTGAGCGGGGGCTACTCTTCGTTGTGGTGTGTGGGCTTCTCATTGCAGTGGCTTCTCTCGTTGAGGAGCATGGGCTCTAGGCACAAGGGCTTCAGTAGTGTGGCACGTGGGCTCAGTAGTTGTGGCTCGTGGGCTCTAGAGTGCAGGCTCAGTAGTTGTGGTGCACGGGCTTAGCTGCTCCGCAGCATGTGGGATCTTCCCGGGCCAGGGTTTGAACCCGTGTCCCCTGCATTGGCAGGTGGATTCTTAACCACTGCACCACCAGGGAAGCCCCCCATAACATTCTTGAAATGACAGCATCATAAAAATGGAGAAAAGATTGGTTGTCAAGAGTTAAGGATTTGTAAAAGGTCAAGCAAGGGATCCTTGTGTGATGGGACTGCTCGGTGTCTGTAGTAGCTGATACACGAACCTGCACCTGTGATACAATTGTTTAGAATCAGACACACACTCACACACCAGTGAGTACAGGTAAAACTGGGTAGATCTGGATAAGACCTGTGGGTTGTCTCAGTGTCAATATCCTGCTGATAATACCCTCTCTCGTTCCGTAAAATTTACCATTGGGGAAACTGGATGAAGGGCACACCACTGCATGTGAATCTGCATTATCTCAAAATGAAAAGTTTAATTTAAAAAAATTGAAAGTTGCTAAGAGAGTTGATCTTAAAAGTTTTGATCACAAGGAAAAAAACTGTAAGTATGTGTAATGATGGATGTTAACTAAATTTATTGTGGCAATCATTTTGCAATACATACGTATATCAAATCTGCATTGTACACCTAAAACTGATAGAATGTTATATGTCAGTTATATCTCAATTTTAAAAAACAGTAGGCAAAGCAAGAAAATGATTGATACAAAAGTCAGGTGAATGCTGCTCACTTGGAGAGAGGAACGGGTCTGAAATTAGGGTGGGATAAACAGGGAGTGGGGCGGGCATTCCAAAGTACTGGTAATACCGTATTTCTCAACCTGGGAAGTGAGAATAATTGTTGTTGTTATTTAACCATGTATACATATTCTACACATTCTTGTCTATGTAATATGTTTGACAATATTTTTAAAACTAAAAAACCAAACCAGCTGATGTAGCGCGCATGAGCCCTGCTTGAGGAAAGCTAGTAACTTGGCACACCTTCCCTTTTGGGTAATTTTCCCTTAGGAGTCTCACCTCCTCACAAGGGAGCCAGAAGATTGCTTTCTCAGACTCTCTCGCTGCTGGGTGCAAGCCTGTGACCCGGGATCCATGACCGGGGGTTCACACACACACTGGGTTTAGCACAAGGAGCGGGGGTCAGAGTCCTGGAGGCCCGTCCTGTGCTCAGCGAGGATGGGACCCCGGGCAAGCGGACCACGGCGACAGAGCCCCTACTGGAGACGCCCGGAACTGCAGTCTGAGCATCGTTGCTGGCGGCTCGCTTCGGAGACTGATTCTATGGTCTCCTGGAGATTCCACGAGCTACTTAACAACCTTCCATAAATTCCTTTTCGCATTGAACAAGCTAGAGTGGAGTCTGTTGCCACATCTTGGGTCATCTATTCTGCAACTGGCGTTGTCTCCAGGACCTCATTATGTTGTCTTCCAATCAATGACAAGATTATGAAGTCTCATTCCCACGCTACTATAACTCAAAATAAAAACAACACGAACCACAAAATATGTATCATTATTTTAAATCTTTGCTTTCTAGAATAATTTGCAAGGTGCTGGTTAAACTCCTGGACGTGAAACTTCTCTCTCTCTTCTCTCAGCCCCTCTCACGCTCTTGCTTTTCTGGTGCTCTAAACTGACACCTAATCTGCCTCTAGTCCTGCACTGTCCAAAACGAGAACCACCAGCTTGTCCTATGCGGCTGCTGAGCACCTGAAAGGTGGTTGGTCTGAACTGAGATGTGCTGTAAGTGTGAAATACACATTGGACGTTGAAGACACTACTGGAAAAAAAAAAAGACTGCAAAATATTTCATTAATAGTTTTGTATATTAATTTATATGTTGAAATGATAATATTTTGGATATATTGCATTAAATAAAATGTATTATTAAAATAGAGTTCAGGGTTTTTTGTTTTGTTTTTTACTTTTTAATGTGGCTACTAGAAAATTTAACGTGACATCTGTGGTTCGAGATGTAATTCCATCTGACAGTGCTGGTCTAGACTGTTAGTGACCAGCATGAGGCGCCTATGCTGTTCTGGACGGCTGTCCTTCAGCATTCCCATGTGTTCCTGGTCAGCACTGTGATTTGGGGGGTGACAGGGAGGTCGCATTGAGAGACCAGGACTTGGCATTGGACCATGGCTCTGCCACTGACACACTCCAGGGACATGGCAAAGTCATTTCAATTCTCTGAACCTCAGTGTGTTCATCCCTAAAATGGAACGATAACGTGTCTCTTACCTACTTCACACAGTTACTGTGAGTATAAAATGGGATCATATTTGTGAACGTGCCTGTAGGAAGCATTTTCCTATTGTTTAGATGCCAATGACCAATGTTAATCGAATGCCTTCTCTAATCCAGACGCTGGGTAATATGTAGTAGCCACGTTGTTTCACTAAGCAACCATCTGTGGGAGAGAAAAACTCTTTTTATACCCACTTCACAAGTGAGAAAGCAAAGGTTTAGAAAGGTCAAGGACCCCTTCTCTCGAGCCCCTCGTTAGAAAAGCACCAGATGCTGAGAACATCCATCCTACGCTCAGCAGAAACCAGCAGTGTGTCCATCAGGGTCCCCAGCCAGCCTGGGATGTGCCATGCGGGGTACCCCCCTCGCCTGAGGGTTACTCTGTCTGTAAACACACTCAGAATCTTCCAAGAACAAGATCTCGGTGTCTCTTCCACACTAATGAGCTCTCCCTGCTCCTGGGCGCACCTGTGTCTGGGGAAGGGCGATGTCTACCTGTGGAGGCCACCTGGTGTTTCCACCTGCCCCTCGGGCATCCATTCCCCTGTCTTCCAGTAACTGAACATACTGTTCTGGACAGTTCTGACTGTCCAGTACGGTTCTGACTCTACGCCTCCTGCGGGAGGTGGGTGCTTAACTCGGCTAATTAGAACCTTCAACTTGGCCACAGGGCAGAGATCCAAACTGAACCAGTGCTGGACAGGAGCTGTTACCGAGACTCTGATTCCCTTGAGATTGAGAGAGCATGCGACATAAGCCCGGGGCAGGCAACCACCTTTGCCACCAGCAGCTGCCTGAGAATGCTGCCAACACAGAGGAAAGCAAAGCCAAAAGATGGAGAGAGCCAGACTGAGTCCTCATGACAGCCTGAAGCAAACCTACCCCTGGAAACATTGAATAAATTCTCTCTTTCGTATTTTTGCTCAAGCCAGTGGGAGTTGTGCTTTCTCACTTTCTACCAAGAGTTTCAACTAAATACCTAATAAAAATGACACTTGTTCGCTTCTCTGCTGTCCTGTGATTCATGGAAAAGACAGTGTGTCCCTTCCCCATGAACCACAAGCTGGGTCTCCAAAGGCCACCAGACCACAATGACTTCTTAGCTTATTCCTATGAGACAGAGGGCATGCTTCTGTAAATTAAGGACGTACATGAGAAACAGCAAATCTCCATCATTTGGGCACCATATAAATATAAATAGATAAATGGCTTGGGAGTGAGTTGATTATCATTGTGAGTTACTGATCTAATCTTCTAAGATGCTTACAGGTGTGTACGAATCCAGATTCACAACTCAGGTATAGGGACAACGTCACAATTTTATTTTCTTTTACCTGACTCCGAGCTCCCATCCCAATGTGGTGGGTTTGCCATGAAGCCACCTTCTCTACCTTTTCTTCTAGATCCTGTCCCCAGTGAGGGGCATGAGGGTCCTTACTGCTTCTGGATCCTGGGATCCAACCTCCCTGCTCTCCCTCGATCCACACCTCTCCCCCCAACTTGTGAGTTTAGGTTTTCTTTAAAGACTGCAAGAGAGATGCCTCAAAAGCCTTTGCTTTTTCAACCCAGACCTCCCCAAGGACTAGAAAGCATCAAGGAACATCTACCTGATTGGTACTGATGAAGGAAAAATTACTACTTGAACATAATAAAAGTTAATATCTCAATAATATTCCCACCGCAAGGCTTCCCAGCAATGAACTCAACAAGGCAAGGCTCTGTGGCTGTTTGAGGCGTATTTACTGGTCTCAGGTAAACACGAACATGGAAGCCCCAGGTGAGAAAGTTGTTTTCTTTTTAATTCTCTTTGACCTTTCTGATTAGGTCCAGGAGAAAGTCTCAGCTTGGTGCTAATAGGTCTTTAACTCCTTTCTAGTACTGGCAAGACTCCCCTGTAAGGAGCAAGCCAACCTCAGGCTTTGATCCTCTGTCAGGCAAGCAATGGGTACCCAGTTAAACTTTAACAACATCATTCTGCTGGTCTATATTGCTATCTATATTTTCAGCTTTCCCCCTGTTTATGGCAAGTGACATTGGCTTTCTATTTCTTGTAGTGGTGTGAAATGTCCTATTTATTTATTTATGTTTATATTCTATTAGATTATTTTATTTAATTTTTGAAATTGAAGTATAGTTGATTTACAGTATTATATTCGTTTCAGGCATGCAGCATACTGATTCAGTATTTTTACAAATTCTACTCCATTAAAAGTTATTACAAGACGATGGCCAGGGGAAAGCAGGGAAGGGGGTGGTGGTGGGATGAATTGGGAGATTGGGATTGACATGTATACACTAATATGTATAAAATAGATAACTAATAAGAACCTGCTGTGTAAAAAAAAATTAAATTAAATTTTTTAAAAAAGATGATGTCTATAATTCCCTGTGCTGTACAATATACCCTTGTTACTTATCTATTATATACATATTAGTTTGTAGTCCTTAATCCCCTATCCCTCTCTTGCCCCTTCCTGCTCCCCCCTCCCCTCTTGGTAACCACAAGTTTCTTCTCTATGTCTGTGAGTCTGTTTCTGCTTTGTTATATTCATTCATTTATTTCATTTTTTAGATTCCACATGTAAGTGAGATTGTGCAGTGTTTGTCTTTCTCTGTCTGACCTATTTCACTAAGCATGATGCTCTCTAGGTTCATCCACGTTGTTGCAAATGGCAGAATTTCATTCTTTTTTATGGCTGAGTTAAAATTTCCTTTTTATTTATTTATTTATTTTTACATTTTATTTTATTTATTTATTTTTGGCCACGTTTGGTCTTCGTTGCTGCGCGCGGGCTTTCTCTAGTTGCAGTGTGCGGGCTTCTCATTGCCGTGGCTTCTCTTGTTGCGGAGCACAGGCTCTAGGCACGCAGGCTTCAGTAGTTGTGGCGCATGGACTTAGTTGCTCCGTGGCATGTGGGATCTTCCCAGACCAGGGCTCGAACCTGTGTCCTCTGCATTGGCAGGCAGATTCTTAACCATTGTGCCACCAGGGAAGCCCTAAAATATCCTTTTTAAATACATTTATTTAATGATGAATTACTTAAAGATAAGTATTAGGTAGGTAATATGTGTTAATCCAGATTATCTAAGAAGCAGATACCAAGAAGGAATTAAATGTGCAAAAAGTTTATTAGGGGATATGCCTGGGAGAAAACGGAAAGGAGGGAATTCCCCTGTGGTCCTGGGTTCAATCCCTGGTGGGACAACTAAGATGCTGCCAGCCATGTAGTGCGGCCAAAAAAACAAAAACAAAACAAAACAAAACAAGAGAGGGGACTGGGAAAATTTGGAGAACTGTCCGACCAGGCTCCAGTCCAGACCCCAGTGACAGAGAGTGGGAGGGAGGGAGGCTGGGTGGATGGTCTTAGACAGCCGCGAAATTCTAAGGCCTAGCCAGCGAGGCCTTCAGGGAGTCCTCAGCCAAAGTCACCTCTCAGAGGGGCCTCCCGGGGGTCGGCGGCAGCCTCAGTATCCCTGCTGTGCTCAGTCACCGGCTGGAGCAGCCCCTGCTTCAGAGCAGCAGCTGAGGTCCAGGGCCAATCACACTCCCGCAGGTGGGGACAGGAGAGGCATGTTCTCACGGCCACCATGTGATGGAACGGTGGTGCGTACATAGAGCTAAGATACCGCAGGCTGGTGTTGGAAAGAATGATTTGGGGCCAATGTAGCTCTAAAGGGAGGCGGCTTTTCAAGTGGGGGAGCTGACGCATCCATGTCCTCTCCTCGGCTGAAAAATGCCCCGGAAACCAGGAATGTGATATTATTTGGAAAAGGGGTCTCTGCAGAGGTGATTAGGTTAAAGATCTTCAGATGAGGAGGTTATCCGGGATTATCTGCTGGGGGGAGGGTAAATGCCATGACAAGTGTCCCTGTAAGAGGAGACAGAGGGGGGCATCACACGGACAGAAGGGGAGACCATGTGAGCACGGATGCAGAGACTGGAGTGATGCGGCCACAAGCTAAGGAACACCAGCTGCCCCCAGACCTGCAAGAGACAGGAGCAGTCTCCTCTGGAGACTCCAGAGGGAGGACGGCCTTGCTGACACCTTGATTTCAGCCCAGGGATACTGATTTCAGATTTCTGGCTTCTACAACTGTGAAAGAATGTATTTTGGGGACTTCCCTGGTGGTCCAGTGGCTAAGACTCCACGCTTGCAGTGCAGGTGGCCTGGGTTCGATCCCTGGTCAGGGAACTAGATCCCACATGCCGCAACTAAGTGTTTGGATGCAGCAACGAAGATCCCCCGAGTAGCAACTAAGACCCAGCACAGCCAAATAAATAGATATTTAAAAAAAAAAAAAAAAGAAAGAAAGAATACATTTCTGTTGTTTAAGCCACCAAGTTTGTAGTAATTTGTTATAGCAGCCCCAGGAAACCAACATCCACCTTCCCTTCCTTCTTTCCTCCTCTCCTTTCTTTTCTCCCTTCCTCTTGTGCTTTTTCCTCCTAATTTCTATTCTCTTTAACCACCTTCTAGGTTTGGTTTTTTTTGTTGTTGTTTTTAGGTTTTTTGTTGTTGGTTTTTCTTTTTTTTTTTTTGGTTTTACTCTCCTTTTTACTGAATCAGCATGAGTAATTTTACTT